TTTCATATCATAATCTTTATCGTTATATTTTAAGTTATCTTTTATAACAAGCAATATAAGTAGCTATTGCTTTTAACGTTAAACAATATTCATTGAAACTTTAATTTTTTTATTATGTCTTTTGAAGATGAAAATATGGGCTTTTGGAAAAATGGTTGCTTTAATGATTATATTAGCAGTGAATTAGAATGCGATAATTCTGATAAAGATTACATGTTATTTGAAAATGATGATTACAGTATTACAACTGATAATACAAGCGAAATTCCATCAATACCTGTAACAACTATCAATGATGATAATTGTATTTATGAATTTTTATTTGATTACGAAGCATTACAAAATGCTAACGAAAAATTAGTTTAGATGAATATAATGATGATGATATAACGTGAGAAGATATGGATTTAGTTGAAAAAGATTCTGTTTCAACAATGGCTGGCTCTAATACGGATAAAGACTATTAAATAGATGATACTGATATAGAAAATAAAATCTTATACAATGTGTTTTAGTAGATGTATATAATGGGAAAGTGAAACGTTGTCTGAATTATGAAAAACTAGGACATGCTTTCTGTCCCCTTCATCAATTAATAGGAATATAAGAAATTGATGGAGCTGTAATTAACCAAACAAATCCTGAAAATATGCTATATACTTTAGGTGTTTACATGGTACATTTTTCTTTTGATCAAAATAGATTACATAAAAAAATTCCAAATAATTATGATCAGTAGGTAAAGGTTACATTTGTTGACGTCGTTGTCTTTTTTGTTATAAAGACAAATATTTTTTTAGTTGTGACAAGAATTGTGCTGAACATTTAATAAATATCAATAATTGAAATGTGTAAGTGCCTTCAAGTCTGTTCAAGTTTCAAAAATGATAGAGTTGTTAAAGAAGTTATTGCTAATATAAATGAAAAAGTATGCTATATATGTTCAGAATGTTTTCAAATGGAAGGAGGACATTTTTTTAAACGAACAGAAAGTGGATCAAAAGCTTTTTCATGTCACAAATATAATATTAATAATACTACAAATGCATTAAAATTATTAGGACAATGGATCTTAGATGTAGCTAATTTAAATAACGATAATGATAGAATAAAAGATAATTTGTTAATAGAAATTAGTACAATACTTGGTAAAATTTTTAAAAATGTAAAACAAAATGAAAACGATAATGATAGTA